CTTTGCCGGCCCAGTGGCCTCACCACAGTCCTTAAGAAGGTCACCAGGTGAGCGGCGAAGGGAGGGAGACTCTCAGCACACCCCCACAACACTCCCATAGGCACGGCACCTAAGATCCCCGCAGCTACACACATCCACCCAGGCACACATGAGCACTGCCCACACAAGTCTATCCAGATATGCATCCGCACCAGAAAGACACACATAGATGCCCGGTAAACACATATGCCAGGAATGAACAACACATACCACATGACACTCCACACAGCCATAAATACACACATTCACACATCCATCCAAAGTGCACGTATACGAAGGCCTGCCATGCCAGGCACACAGACACACGCCCATGTATATACCCTCCCCAACACACACACACACACACACACACACACACACACACACACACACACACGATCACAGATACAACCATCCGAACACATATATGCCCAGCATGTGGCTCTCCAAGGGTACCAAATGGGCTCTGTTCAGGGCACAGGTCCTGGGCTTCAGACAACCTCAATGAGTGAGGAGCTTGATCTGTTCAGTCACAGAGAAAGAGGACAGGTGGTGGGCAGGTGGAATGCCACGCCTCTATGAACCCTTCTACACCCGGGACACATAGGTCCCAGGAGAACTGTGCTGGGCTGTGTCCATGGGGAGAGAGAGGTGGGGGCGGACTCACCTGCAGGTTTGAAACCTCTAGGCATGGAAGGTTCTGAGACCCAGCTTCAGGGTGCAGCTGGCTGTCACAGAGACTGCCCTTGGGTCTGAAGTGACAGACAGGACCAGAACAGAAACAGAGGTGGCCCTTGGCGTGTTCAAGGCACTTTGCAGTTCGACAGCTTCTTTTAAACTTGGTGACTATTTCCCATACTTGGTGAGAGCCGTTCTGAGACATTGGTGGTAATGTTCCATCTCCTAGACCTGGAGAGGAGTGGGGACTTCAAGACCACACAGCAGGTTACTCAGTGGGCTGGTCTCCAGCCAAGGAGATGCCCTGCGGGTGGTGTGGTTTGTCCTCCCCTTGTCTGCACAGTCCTCTGTCGGGATGCCGGCCACCGGGAGCAGGTCCTAGCTTTGCCCACTTCATCCAGTGATCCTGGGGCACAGCCCAACCCTCGGTCTCCCCACCTGAAAAGCAGGGACGGGATCCCCAGGCGGGTATCCGGCCACAGCTGGTGACCACACTGAGACCAGGGTGAGTGGGAGTGGCGTTTGCCGGATGCCCTCGGGTTGCCAGAGCAAGGACGAAAGGCTGCTCGCTCCCCTCCTCACTTGGCCAGCCGCGATCTCTCTCCAACCTCCCTCGGTGACTCGGCTCCAGAAATCCGGGCTCCGGGTCTTGGCTCGCGCCTCGTCACTCGGGAGACTCGGGAGCGGCTTGCGGTTGCCGTGGGAACCCCGCCCGGGCCGGCCTGGCTCACGACTCGCGGCACCACGCTGGGGCAACCCGGCAGACCACGGGCGTTTGCGGTCTGTCCCTGGACTAACTCTCCAAGCGTAAGGCAGAAGCTCAGCTCGGTGAAGTGCGTAAACCCACGTCACCCGGCACGGTCAATTCCGAGCACTTCAAGCGGCAGAAATCGAACGCGCCAGGAAGGCGCTATTTAGCGGGAATTGCCTCTGAGGCTGCACCGGTTCCATGTGACCTCGCAGGTCCGCTTTTCGGCCCTTTTTGGGACTCGGTTTTCTGCGAAGGGGCTCGAAGAACTGACACGTGGTCTTCACCTGTTCCTTGCATAGTGCTTTAGACACTTTGCTAACTTTGGCCCTGTGACCCAAGTCAGTTAAAAAACAACATACACACACACACACACACACACACACACACACACACACGTGAAAGATTCAACAGTTTAAAATGGGTAGCTCCTTGGCTGATGATGCCCGAGACTCACCAGCTCATCTGGCTAGCCTGAAGTTCATCTATTTCAACGTCCCTTTACTGAAATCCCTTTAAGAGCAGAGCAGACAGGATGCATTGGGTCAGTGGGTCACAACCTCTTGTCTTGGGGTACTGCCTGCAGCACTCTCTCCAGGAGGCAAACTCCTACTCAAAACTCACTTGCCCCGACACTTTTCCTTAATTACAATCCTGCTGGCAACACCCTCTAACGAGGCTTCTTACTGCATCCCCTGGGTCTTGTGCTGTTTGTGAATAGGCCCCTCCTTCCGACTAGGCACCCAAAGAAAGCCTGTGCCTGGCACACAGCTGGTCTTCAATAAATACACTTGGCACTAAAAGTGGAAGGGAGGTTTGGCTGCCTGATCTATAAAATGCCATCAGCCCTGAACCTGCCAAGGATCGAGCTTCTGGGACACCTGGGGCCCAGCTACAAGGAGGGAATGGCAGCAGGGAGCCAACCCTGCCTGGCTATTTGAGGCTATGCTCAGGGGCCTGGGAACCCTTAAGAGCCCCCAGAATAGATTCTCCCTGCCTTCTGGGGCTCTGCTGGGGAGCCAGCCCACACTCTGCAGAGAGTTCAACACAATGGTGAAATATAACAAGGGACTACAAAAAAGAGAACATTCTTACACGGGATTATGCTGGGGATCACACATGCATATCTTTTTTCTATAACCGAGTGACCCTCATTCTCTCCCACAACTTGACCTTGAACATACAAGCTTCTTAGGTAGTGAGAAGGATCACTCCTCACCCTTTGAGCTGAGGAAAATTTCACTCTTGGCTTCACCTTAGCAAGAACATTTTGGGGGTGTGTGTGGAAACTGGGGTGAGGCATTCGCTCTCATCCACCGGTGTCAGGGGCTGATGGCGAATGATGATGGCGCAGGGAGGCAGGGAACAGGCTGGGGAATCCTGGGAAAGGGTGCTGATGCAGGCTGCGGGCATAAACAACTTGGCCCATCCATTTCCCCATCTGCGAACCACAGACTTAGCATTCATCTGACAGGGGCCTCGGTAAGACCCATTTAACAGACAGGCACACTAAGGCCCAGAGGAGAGGCGTGCAAAGGCTCACAGCCACAGTGTGGGGCCTGGGACCAGGCTCTGCAGCTGCCCAGCTTGCTTCTTCCTATCTCAATGGTCACTTCTCAGGCCTTCAGGCCTTGCCCAGTCTCCCCTGGGCAGGAGTCTCCTGGGAGGAACTACAGGAAGCAGAAGGCTCAGCTCCATCCCGGTCCCCCAGACCCCACTGACGGCTGGGTTGCTTCCCAGGAGGACAGATGTCCTGTACAAGCTTCCGTACAAGCTTCCCCCAGCTCAAGCAGGAGGTAGGCACTGGGAGGAGAGGCCGACAGGTTGGACAGCCTCACCTGAGGGATTTAAGTGGCCACTGCCTTCTCTAGGCATCAACTCAGGAAAGGCATCCAGTCAGGGTTGGGTGAAAACAGGGAGCAGAGGACTGAGGGTCATTTATCTTTCCAGAGGCCCTTGGTCCATGCACCTCGCTTCTCTGACCTCAGGCTCCGTTGCCTGCCCTAAGGACCCTAAAGCTGAACAGGGAGAAACTGCCCAAGACGCCTGACGGGGCCTAACACCCTTCAAGTAGGCAGCCCCCCACAGATGTGCAAGCCCTGTGGCTTTCACTGTGGGAAAGCTCCCTGTCACGTGGGAGTCCTTGCTGATATAGGGTCCTACCCCCTTCCTCACCTCTCTGGGCTGGAAATCCCCTGCCCATCGTGACTACTCGCAGACCAGTGCAGTCAGAGTGGGGTTGGGCCCCATGTGCTAGGCTAACATGGTATCTGTGGGATAATCAGAAATGACTTCATAGTCAGGGGTGGTGGCGCACGCCTTTGGTCCCAGCACTTGGGAGGCAGAGGCAGGCAGATCTCTGTGAGTTCAAGGCCATCCTGGTCTACAGACTGAATTCAAGAACAGTCAGGGCTACACAGAAAAGGCCTGTCTCAAGTGAACGAATAAAAAAATCCAAGAAAAATGATTTCACCCATCTGGATGCAGGATTCTGTGTATAATGTACAATGGCAGTGTCTACCTGGGCACATTGCTCAGATTGTGACTCAAGCTTTTGTTGGGCGCGTGTCTTTGTTCAGCTAGTGTGTGTGTGTGTGTGTGTGTGTGTGTGCTCACATGTAGATTCACAGCAAGCCTGCCCAGGGTCCTACATGCCACGTTCCCTCAGACCATTGGGTCACATGACAAGCCACCCGGGACTGCTTTGTGCTGGGACTAATGGTGAAGGCACTAGGGAGGGGGGCATGGAAAGAGTTGGTGAACACGGTAGTGACAGATCCTCATCCTGCCAAAGCCTCTCTTGCAACAGAGGGAGTGGGAAGAGGAGAGATGAGAAATTCCAGTAAGGGGGAGGGGTGCTGGCAGAAAGGCCCCGGATTCGTCTTGTCCCATGTCTACAGACTCAGACATCGGTGCCCAGACAGGGTAGGTGCCCTGCTCAAGAACCCACACAGTGGGAGGCCTCAGGCCCACTGGAGGTTCTCCCCACTCCCCCCTGCCGCCTCTCTGACATCTGGAGAGTTTCCTGGTCAGCGAAGTGTTTTCCAGCGTCTTCTCACAGGAAGAAGAGGGGAACAGAAACGAAGGCGTGGGACCCAGAGACACACTTAGCTCTTTGAAAGTCTCAGCAGCTCCATTGTAAGGACGTTAATACTGAGGCCCAGAAAGGGGAGTCAGGGTCAGCCTGTCTCCACATCCAAAATCATCAACGAGGTTAGCCCAGAGCTACCCAGATTAACAGGTGAGGAGGTCGGGGCTAGCTTCAGCCCTACTTCCCAGGAGTCCCAACGCTGGAGGTTGACAGCCACAGAAAGCCTGCTTCCACCTCCCAGGCCCCAGCAGTCGGGACTGAACTTTCAGCCAAGTGTCAGGCTGTGCCTGGGCTTTCCAGGGATGAGGGGGCCCCTGGATGCGCGTGCAGGACCAGAGAGGGCCGCAGGCCAGCAGCCGCCGTGCAAACCGCCCCGCCCGTCGGCGTGGGGACGTGGTTGAAACTCCGCTTCCTGGCTCCTCGCCGGCTCCCGGCCGACCCGCCACGTCACCGCGGCCAAGGGTGCGCGCGGCGGGAGCGCGCGTGCGAGGAGGCGCGGCACCGGCCTGGGACAGCGCGAGGCCCGGGGACGGGGACGTGGCAGCGCCCGGCACTCCTGAAAGTTCCCTGGAAGCTCCGCTCGACGCGGCGCGGGAAGCGGCGGGCGGAACCATGAACGTGTTCCGAATCCTCGGGGACCTGAGCCACCTCCTAGCCATGTTCTTGCTCCTGGCCAAGATCTGGCGGTCCAAGAGCTGCGCGGGTGAGCGGCGCCCGGGCGGGGCGGGACGGGACCAGGGTGGGGACTCGGGCTCAGAGGGAACCACGCGCGCTTCCAAAAACTTCAGTCAAGTTTTTCGACGTCAGAGGATCCGAGAAATTATGCGGGAGCGTGGCTTCCGCCTCCACGGACACTGCTGCCGCACCTCCCTAGCCCCAACCTTCGCCCCCAAGCTGGCAATGTCACTGCTGCAGGGCCAGGACTGGGGGTGGTGGTGGCGACCCTCCCCCTCACTAGGAGGGAAGGGTTCCTATTTAGAAGCCGCCCTAGTCTTGGAATCTTTCCCTCCACTGTCTCCTATCTTCTGCTTCCCAGGGAGAACCTTCCTTTTCCTGCAAGCTTACTGACACCAGTCTGGCCCAGGGGTGTGGAGCTGGCTCCCGAGTGGAAATGTTTGGAGATATCCGAGGGGCTCCCTGTTTGGAGATATCCGAGGGGCTCCCTGTTTGGAGATATTCGAGGGGCTCCCCGTTTGGCCAGAGGTCTGGCCGCCTTGCTGCCTTGCGAGAGTCGGGAGAGGTTTCCAGGTTGAAATGGAGATTGTATTGCCCCATGGTGCAGCAAAGATAAGCTGTCCACTGTCTTTCTGCCGTCTTTGTCCCTAGCGTCCCTGCCTGTGTTGGGCATGCAGAAGGCAGGCGGCTATGGGATGAGCTCAGACCCCATCAGAGCTGAGGAAGCAGAGAGCAGCTGAGGGCTATGTGGAGGAAATGGATGGACAGGGTGTGTGCCCAGAGACGGGTAGCGTTGAGAACCCTAGTGTAAATACGCAGAAGCCCCAGGGCACAGGGCATATCCCGGAAGGATGCACAGGAGGGGAGGAACCCAGAAGGTAGGGTTGCCCAGAGGTGAAAGCATTCACCTGCTACACTCGGGACCCAGGATTAGGGAGGACATGGACGAGGAAGAGGAGGGACAGGAGGTCTCTCCGAGATGGGGTGGAGAAGATATCACCTGGGACACTGGATGGGAAGGGCACGGGGCTAAGGGTCCTGGCACATTTTGGATCCAGTGGTTCTGCGCGGAACCGGAAGTTGCCCGGGTTTGGAGTCTCCTCACAGTCCTCCAGGGCCTGGCTCAGAGCACCTGGGGGGCTGTAGGTCCAAGAGGGAAGTCACTTGGACCCGTGCCTGTGCTTCAGAAAACATCAGGGGCAGGATGGGGGAGGGTGTTGTTACCCTCCCTACCTCAGTCTTGGGCACTGTGCCCTGAAACCCCACTCAGGGTCAGTGAGGTCAGGTCAGTAAGCGGTTCGGGATAAAGAAACATGGCAGCCGTGCCAGCCCCTAGCACCAGAGATGCTATCCACTGTGTTATATGGCCTTAGGGTCTCTGTTTTCCCATCAGTCAGAGGGACAGGAGGCTGCCTTGCCCTGACTGGTGGGCCCCTTGGAGACTCCTCAGGCTCAGACTCAGTGTCCCCTCTTATCCTGGGCTCCTGGTGGGAACAGTGTGTGTGGAATGTGTGTGGAGCCTCTGAGTGGAACCCTGAGCCCAACTGGTGAGGACGACAGAAGAACACAGTGGATTGTGTCTGCTGTGGGGTTGCTGCTTTCACCGTCCCAACAGGACAGAGGGCCTCTCTGGCACTGCCTCCATGAAGGTTGGTGAGGGAGTCGCCCAGCCAGCCCCACTGGGCCCTGGCTCTGTCTAGATGTGTGTCACCCACGTGTCACCCCTTGCTTGAGTTCCTTCATGGCCATCCCCATCTCCAGGCACACTCCCTGCCAGGACCCTGCTCAGGTCCCAGGTCTTCCTCACACGGCTCCTGGCTCACGTATGTGTGGGCCGGTTTACTGGTGAGGAGTGCGAGGCCCAGGCTTGCTGGTAGCCAGTATGTGGGCCCAGTGCTCTTCAGAATGGGAGAGACTTTAGGAGTACCCCTTCTTGCTCATCAAAAATGACCTTGGCCTGATGGTGGCGGCACACTCCTTTAATCCCAGCACTTGGGAGGCAGAGGCAGGTGGATCTCTGTGAGTTTAGAGCCAGTCTGGTTTACAGAGCAAGTTCCAGGACAACCAGGGCTACACAGAGAAACCCTGTCTGGAAAACCAAACCAAACCAACCAAACAAACAAACAAAAAGGTCACCCTGTCCCAAGTCTGTCATCCCCACCAGAAGAGTAAGATAGGCAGCATGGGCATAGGAAGGAACAGACATGCAAGGGTCACACTGCCCAGACACTCTGTTCATTGGGAATGTAATCTGGACATGCTGGACGGAGAGTGACAGGAGCCAAGGGAGAGGGTGGCCCAGGCAGCAACTGGGATAAGGTTTTGGGTCTTTTAAGGACATTTGGAAGCCACTTAAAAACTTTAGGCAAAATTTTAATTTTTTTTTTTTTTTTGGTTTTTCGAGACAGGGTTTCTCTGTAGCTTTGGAGACTGTCCTGGAACTCGATTTGTAGACCAGGCTGGCCTCAAACTCACAGAGATCCGCCTGCCTCTACCTCCCGAGTGCTGGGATTAAAGACGTGTGCCACCAACGCCCAGCTGCAAAATTTTATCTTAAAGTAGCCCTTAGGTTTCTGGATGGAGAATGGAAATGGGGGACAGCGGGCCAGCAACGAAAGGTTTTGAGAGAGCAGACCACGAGGCACTGAAGTGAGAGTTGGCCGTCTGAGAGCTGTAGAGCACGGGGGAGAAAGCTAAGGAATACTGAAGGGATGCCTGGCCTGGTGACTGATGGGATGCAGGGCAGGGGCAGGGCGGGGGGAGGGGGGGCAGGGCAGGGCAGGGCAGGGGCAGGGGCAGGGCAAGGGTGGCTGTGAGTTTGTGGGCCTGAGTGCCAGGGGTTGGAGGTCTGTTGACTGAGAAGGGGGTCCAGGCTGAGGGGAGAGAGGTTTGTGTTAAAGCTGACTTTGGGGGCCTTGTGGGATTGTCCTGGAAAATGGAGGAGACAGGTGAATGAACATACAAACCAACCCTGAGAGGAGGGCTCAGATGTGGAGGGACCCTAGTGTTTTGTGTAGGGGTGCACGTGTGTTCTAGAGGCTGTCGGCCTCAGGGATGCCGGCGGCACAGGTATTGCTGTCTGCAGAAGGGGTGCACAGCTCTATGATGCTACTGGACGGGGCTGGAGAGGGATGCTAGGGGTGGGCAGGTGATGTTAGCTGCTCCTGAGAGCAGGAGTGAGGTCGGTTGGCCTTGGCTGCAGAGACATGGGCAATGTGAGGGGGAATGTTTAGATGAGGTGACCTGAGGGCGTGGCGAGGAAGAAGGAAATGGCGTTACCTGGCTCTCGGCACCACCTCAGGCCCACCAGCAGCAGCCAGAGGAGTGCAAAGGATTGTGTGTTGTTTCAGGGTCTGAGCGGGGGAGCGTGCAGGGAGAACACAGGTGAGACGGGAGTGGACTCAAGAGTCCGTGACCTCATAGTTCGTTATGACGGTTTATTCTGGTGCACGAGACGCAGCCCTGGATCTTGCATGTGCTCAGCAACTGCCCTACCACTAGGCAACACTCCAATCTTTCTTTCTTTCTTTCTTTCTTTCTTTCTTTCTTTCTTTCTTTCTTTCTTTCTTTCTTTCTGTATTTATTTGTTGTGGTGGTGGTTTTTCAAGACAGGGTTACTCTACGTTAACAGCCTTGGCTGACCTGGAACTCACTCTGTAGACCAGGCTGGCCTTGAACACACAGAGATCCTCCTGCCTCTGCCTCCCGAGTGCTGGGATTAAAGGTGTTTGCCACCATTGCCTGGATACTTATTTATTTAGAGACAAGAGACAAGGCCCCTGTGTAGCCCAGGCCGGTCTTGAACTCTTAAATCCTCTGTCTCCGAATTCCGAGTGGGGGTGGGCACTGCACAGAGGTCCCACCCTTGTTCTCATCTTCTGAGAACCTTTATGGCCACCAACCTTAGTGGAAGCTGAATGAAAGCACAAGGGACCTCTCTGGACTCTGAAACTCTTTCATCCACAAGTCCCTGGTAGACCAGGGTGGAGGCGCACACCTTTAATCCCAGCCCTCAGGAGCCAGAGGCAGGAGGATCTCTGAGTTTGAGGCCAGCCTGGTCTACAGAGTGAGTTCCAGGACAGCCAGGGCTACACAGAGAAACCCTTTCTCAAAAAACAAACCAACAAACAAAGAGGTCCCTGGTTGTGACAGCACAATCGCAGCACTCAGGAGGTGGCCGCAGAAAAATTAGGAACCCAAGGCCAACTTTGTGTATACAGAGTTCGAGACTAGCCTGGACTACATGAGATGCTGTCTCAAAATATTAAAGATTGGGTTGGTGAGATGACCCACTGGGTTAAGGTACTTGTCAAATTTGAGCATCTGAGTTTGATCCACATGGTGCATTGAAAGTTGTCCTCTGACCTCCATACATGGCTTGTATGCACACACCCCATACACACACAAACACACAGTAAGTAAATAAATACTTTTTATGCATTTTTTGTTTGTTTTCCAGATAGGGTTTCTTTGTGTAGCCCTGGCTATCCTGGAACTAACTCTGTAGACTAGGCTGGCCTCCAATGCACAGAGATCTGCCTGCCTCTGCCTCCTGAGGGCTGGGATTAAAGGCGTGCGCCACCACTGCCTGGCATAAATATATGTTTTTTAGTTTTATGTACATTGGTGTTTTGCCTGCATGTGTGTCTGTGTAAGGGTATCAGATCCCCTGGCACTGGAGTTACAGACAGTTGTGAGCTGCCATGTGGGTGCTGGGAATTGAACCCAGGTCCTTTGGAAGAGCAGCTACTGCTTTTAACCTCTGAGTCATTCCTCCATCCCCCCCTTTGGGTAGGAGACTTGGGAGTTCAAGGCCATCTTGGGCTGCATAACAAGACTCTAACTCAGATAAATAAAGGATAGGCCAGGGAGGCCAAGAAACACCATGGGCCAGAGCTGGAGAGGTAGATCAGTGGTTAAGAGCACTGACTGTTCTTGATTCCTAGCACCTACATCATGGCTTACAAATGTCTGTAACTTTGGTTCCAGGTACTTACGTAGGCACCAGGTACACTTGTGTGGCAAATATATACATGCCGGTACCCCCCCCACACACGATCTTTTATATTTTGCAACATGTTATCACGATGTAGTTATGGCTGGACTGGAACTCACAGATCCACCTAATTGGCCCCCTGAGTGCTGGGGTTAAAGGCACTACCACACCTAGCTAAAATAAAGAGTATTTTATTACATGTATTTATTCCTTTTATGTGTATGTGTGTATACTGGAGTTCATTCATGGGTGCCACATGCTTGCATGGACGATGGGAGTCACAAGAGAGCATCTGATCACCCAAAACTGGAATCACCGCCAGTTGTGAGCAGCACTTTGTGGGGGCTGGGAACTGAACCCGGGTCCTCTACAAGAGCAATAAGCGCTCTTAACTACTGAACCATCTCTCCAGCTCAAAGTAAATAAATTCTTTTTAAAAAGAAAGACAGACAAACCTAGGAACTGGGCATGGTGGTGGTACGCACCTGTGGTACCCACCTGTGGTACCCACCTGTGGTACCCACCTGTGGTACCCACCTGTGGTACGCACCTGTGGTACCCACCTGTGGTACCCACCTGTGGCCTCAGTCCTGACAAGGCAGAGCCAGAGAGGGTTGCTAAAAGCTTGAGCCAGCCTTTTCTTTTTTGATTAATTTTTTTTGTTTGTTTGTTTTTCGAGACAGGGTTTCTCTGTATTGTTTTGGAGGCTGTCCTGGAACTCACTCTGTAGACCAGGCTGGCCTCGAACTCACAGAGATCCGCCTGCCTCTACCTCCCGAGTGCTGGGATTAAAGGCATGCGCCACCAACGCCCGGCTTGATTAATTTTTAATTTTGAGGTTTCACTGTGTAGCCCTAATAGCCTTGAATTCAAAAGGGATTTAAGGCGTGTGCAACCAAGCCCAGCAAGCCAGCCTATTCTGTATAGAAAGCTCTAGGCCAGTCAGGACTACACAGCAAGACCCTGTCTCAAAAGAGAGAAAGAAAAAAGAAACGGTATGGAGAATAAGACACCATTAGTGACAACTCCGTGCACCTGGGTCACGCACATGCGCTCAGGTGCGTCTGGTGAGCTGTGGCCGGGGCCGGGCATTGAGATATCTTTGCTTTTGCATGTGCCATTTGGTGTTTATTATTGACTAACTGCACCGTTGGGGCTTGAACCCAGGGACTTGCACACACTTTGCAAGTGCTCTGTCCCTGAGCTGTACCCCTGATCTTTGTATTATAAAGGGCTTTTAAAACTTGTGCATTTTGGCAGAGTGCTGCTGGCCTTCATCTGCCTGCTAGTCTCCCTGGTGAATCAGCACCCGGTGTCAGTGCCTTGCTCTCCCAGGATGGAGCTCTGGGATTGCCGCTAGAGCTCTGGGGGTGGCACACAGAACAGCCTCAACACCCCCACCCAGGCGACTCACACCACCCCCGCCCACAGCACTAAAGTGGCGCACGCAGGGGGACTGGAACGTAGTGTTCGGATCTTTATTTGGAGACAGATCATAGCTCAACAAGAGACACAGGGACTCCAGTGACTTAGAGTGGGCCAGGGACAGCGGCTCCTGGAGCCTGGGCGGCCACCCTGAAGTCCGCGCTCTCAAGGTCTCTTGTTCTCCCTGCACAGGCATCTCTGGGAAGAGCCAGATTCTTTTCGCTCTGGTCTTCACCACCAGGTACCTGGACCTCTTCTCTAATTTCATCTCCATCTACAACACAGTGATGAAGGTGAGAGCCTGGGGACTGCTGGGGTGCTGGGCAGTTTTAGGCGGGGCTGCAGCCATTGCACCTGCCTTGCTACTCAGGGCTTTCAGGCCCGGCCGGCCACCGTACTGTTTCCTCAGGACCAAGGTGGGACTTGCACTTAGCTCAGGGGCGTGGCTGTAAAGTTTAAATGTAAACATGAGGCGGTATCAAGGTGCACTCCTGTAATGGCAGCACTGGGGAATCAGGGAGACAGGAGGATTGCTGCAAGTTCAAGGCCAGCCTGGTCTGCATACTTAGTTCCAGGGGTACACAATGAGACAGTGTCTCAAAAGGCTCTACCACCGGGCTGAAGAGATGGTTGAGAGGAGTTGAGAGCAGTGACTGCTCTTCCAGAGGACCTGGGTTTGATTTCCATACCCGCATGGCAGCTCACAGCTGTCTGTAACTCCAATTTCTGATACCCTCACACAGATATACATGCAGGCAAAACACCAATGCACATAAACACCACACACACACACACACATACATACACAAACAAATGTAAACACTAGCACCCTACCATGGACTAAATATTCCCTAAAAATTATCCATAGCACATAATGGTTAAACAACTAAATTAGACATTTGTTTATTGGACCCTGGACATTGCTGAACTTGGTTTGGACACCCTTGCAACAACTGTGTTCTGCCTTTGCTGGGCCAGGCACTTGGAGACATTCACGACTCATAGATCCTGAGGGGACACCATGAGCAAATGAGAACGTTTGGTGATGGATGGGGTTATTAACATTTTACTTTAATTGGAAGTTTTGAAGAGGTATCTGACAGAGGCTCAGGGAGTGTGGGCAGAACCTGAGGGATGCGTGACCAACCCTCAGATAGGAGGACAATCGCCCAGCAGTGCGTCGCCAGGACCTAGGCCCAGCGAGGCAGGAGCAGGCTGGGCTCTTCAGAGAACCGCTGTGAGGCTGAGGCAGTGGGAACCCTGAGGGATTGCTGCAGGGAGACAGGCCAGAGGAGGCGAGGAGGGTCGGGTGGCTCAGGTCTGCTGCGGGACCAAAGGCCTCAGGGGTCCTGTGGTTTGGAAGTGTGGACCGTTTTCTCAGTCCCAATGCCACGCCTCTTCTCTGTGCCGAGAATGTAGGGTGCATTTGGGGTGAAGCTTCTCACCGCCCTTCCTGGCTCTGAGGAAGGTATGTCAGGGGCAAGAACAGGTTGCTAGTCAGCAAAGTGGGGTGCGGCGGCTCAGAAGCTAACAGTGTGGGTGACTTTAGCAAAGCCAGGGGGTAACCCTCCTGTTACCTAATATCTAGGGTGAGCCGTTCAGGGAGGGCTTGGACAGTCCCGTGGATTCCTAGGCTCCTTGTGGCTCCTTACTCTGACATCTTTAGCGTGGCCAGCACCAGTGTGCGTGCGAACAATACAGACCCCGCACTTGCTTGAAGTCTCTGGTATCGCCATCTTGAAACTCCTAGTTTTAAACAAAGGGCCTCATATTTTCATTTGGCAGTGGGCCTGGTGAGTTGTGTCATGAACATAATATCTCTCCCTAGTTACCATGGGGTTGCAAAGTGTCTGCTGTGGCTCCTAAGGCAGAAAGGTATCGGTGGCACAGTAAGGTACCCGCCAACCAGTGCTCTTTTTCTTTCTTTTAAGATGGGACTCTTACTATGTAGCCGTGGGGGGCCTGGAACTCACAGAAATCCACCTGCCTCTGCCTCCCAAGTGCTGCAATCACAGGAGTATGCCACCATGCCTGGCTTATTTTACTTTTTAAAGATTTACTCATGTTTTCTGTGTCTGCGTGTTCGCCTGCATGTATGTGCATCGCATGTACCCACTGCCCACAGAGGCCAGAAGACGATGTGGGATTCCCTGAAACTGGAGTTAAAGCCCATTGTGAGCTAGCTGCTCCATTGGGAGCCAAACTTGGGTTTTCTGCAAGAGCAGAGAACACTCACTACCTCACTCCAGCTCCGATTCTTGGTTTGGAAACAGGATCAAAGCTGGCCTTGAACCTGAAATCATCCTGCCTCGGCCCCCCCATATGCTGGGATTATGAAGAAAGCTCTTTTTGTTGTTGTTGCTGGTTTTTGAGACAGGATCTCTCTACATAGCCTTGGCTGTCTGGTACTCACTATGCAGACCAGGCTGGCCTTGAACTCACAGAGATCTGCCTGTCTCTGCCTCCTGAGTGCAGGGACTAAAGTTGTGTGCCACCACCACCCAGCTGGAAAAAACTCTTTTTAAATAGTTTATCCAGCCGGGCGGTGGTGGTGCATACCTTTAATCCCAGCACTCGGGAGGCAGAGGCAGGTGGATCTCTGTGAGTTCGAGGCCGGGCTGGTCGGTCCGACAGCCTCCAAAACAATACAGAGAAACCTTGTCTCGTAAACCTCCCCCCCCCAAAAAAAAAGTTTATCCAAAATCTCAAGAAGCTGAAATGGAGGATGGTGAGTTCTGGGCTAGCCTGGGATACATGTCAGGACCTTGGACTGGTAAGAAGGCTCAGGAATAAAGATGCCTACCACGAAGCCTGATCATCTGAATTGGGTCCCCAGAACCCACATGGTAGGAGAGAATCAATTACCACAAGTTGTCCTTTGACATCTATATGCACACCACGGCATTTATTTGTGACAACACACACACAGACACACTTTGAAAAACCAAATAGCTGGGCATGGTGGTGCACACCTTTAATCCCTAAGGCCAGCCTGGTCTACAGAGAGAGTTCCAGGACAGCCGAGAAACCAAAACAAACAGACAAACCAAAAGTTCTGAAAACTCTACCCTGTGACCCCGCCAACTCTGGAGATGCAGTTTTGGTTGAATGCATTATCTGAAGTCCCGACTCTACTTGCTCATGTGTGGAGTGGGAGTGTCTTATCTCTATCTTGCAGGACCCAGCAGAGGTAATGTTCTGTCTCAGAGACATCCTTTGGGATTCCAGGGAGCTCATCACTAGCAGTGGTAGGGGAGGGTGCTGTCACCTGTGAAACATTTGATCTGTATGACTCTTAGTCTGGGATCTTAGCGTCTTAGAATCATCACCTGCACACCCAGCCTTGAGTGGCAGGATGAGGCATCTAGTCTGGAATGGAATGGAAAGGTGGTCCTCACTTCCTGCCTTCCCTCCTTCATTAATTTGTGCTGAGTAAGGCTAGAGGGGGATTCAGAGGGTCCTGCCTGTGATTCATATTGTAGGGGAGACAGACTCACATGTTTTCACAGGGCAATGACCCCCATGCTACATGTGGTAACGGCATGCCATCCTAGGGACGTTTCAGGGATTGGATTCTCTATGCCAGTCTAGTCTAGTGCAGCTAGCAGCATTAGCACCACCCAGGAAGTTGTTAGGAATGCAAATTCCATGGCTGTCCAGCCCGACAAAGGAGAAGATCCTGGGGCGGGCATTAGAGAAGTCACTGTGACCCTAATGTGAACCTCCAGCCCACAAGGTTAGGGGCCCCAGAAACATCACACACATGTGGCATGTTGGGGGACAATAGCATGTTGGCCCTCTGGGTTACAGATATCACAGCTTAACATGAGCATTAAGAAATTATTTCATAGGCCAGGTGGTGGTGGTGGTGGTGCACACCTCTAATCCCAGCACTTGGGAGGCAGAGGCAGGTGGATGTCTGTGAATTCGAGGCCAGCCTGGTCTACAGTGAGTTCCAGGACAGCCTCCAAAGCTACAGAGAAACCCTGTGTGTGTGGGGGGGATTTCATAGGTGCCCATGTCTCTCCTCTAGGTTATTTTCCTCCTCTGTGCCTATGTCACTGTGTACATGATCTACTGCAAGTTCCGGAAAACTTTTGACATTGAGAATGACACATTCCGGCTGGAGTTTCTTTTGGTCCCAGTGATCGGCCTTTCTTTTCTGGTGAACTACAGTTATGCACCAATGGAGGTGAGTCTGATCCTAAGGCAGGGGTGCCTCCCAGCACCCTCTTCAGTCACCTGGGCCTGCCGACTATAAGTCAATTTCTTTTTTTCTTTTTTTTTTTTTTTTTTGGTTTTTCGAGACAGGGTTTCTCTGTGGCTTTGGAGGCTGTCCTGGAACTCACTCTGTAGACCAGGCTGGCCTCGAACTCACAGAGATCCACCTGCCTCTGCCTCCCGAGTATAAGTCAATTTCTTATCATTGACAATGTTCAGCTCCATCTCCCGGTAAGGGGCATATCTGTTACACAGTCATGAGGTTCCAAGTTAAGCAAGTGGTAACCCTGCTTCTGTTGGAACCTTGTGTTCCCAAGAACAGTCCAGGCTGACTATAGCTTAGCAGGCCTGAGCTTAAAGAGACAAATATCTTTGGAGGTCCTATGCTGCTATTTATGGGCTGTACCCTGCCACACTGTGGCTTAAATCATGTCATTTATATAAACTGTGTGGTCTGTAAAACCTGTGTTTTGTGACATGTTTGCAGTTATAAAACAAGTAGGCATTACATACCTGAGTTTGTATTTCCATAGGAAGCAATAGCAGGTTCAGGGCTGGGGACGCTGAGTGCTTTCTTGCCTAGCATGCATCTGCCCTTGGCTTCTGTCTCTAACACCAAATAGCCACAAACTTCTTAAATCTGGTGCGGTGAAGCTTGCCTGTTGCCCCTGCTCTTCCTTGGGAGATGAGGCAATTAGCTCAAAGCCTACTTGGGTTACACCGTTATCCCTCTCCAACATTTACTATAGGGGTCCGCCCACCCTTCTGCTTTTCTGACAGGTACTCTGGACCTTCTCCATCTATTTGGAGTCAGTGGCCATCCTGCCACAGCTCTTCATGATCAGCAAGACCGGAGAGGCAGAGACCATCACCACTCACTACCTGTTCTTCCTGGGGCTGTATCGGGCACTCTATCTAGCCAACTGGATCTGGCGGTATCAGACAGAGAATTTCTATGATCAGATTTCAGTGGTATCTGGAGTAGTACAAACCATTTTCTACTGTGATTTCTTCTACTTGTATGTGACCAAAGGTAGGCACTGGTCCTATGTCATTCTGCACTCTATGGTACTCCAGTTGATCTGAGACAGAGTCAAGGTTCATCAGTTCTAGAGCTTATCTGGATGGGGAGGCACAGATCAATGAGAATCATACTTGTGCACAGACAAGGTAACTGGGAGAACTTTTGCCAACGCTGGCTGGGAAAATCTCATGTATAAGCTCCAACAGGCCTTAAAGTCGTAAACACAGGGCCTCCAGGGTTTACTATAAACTCACCAGGAGCATTTCAACCAACACAGTTGATGAGGCTCAGGGTGAAGCGAAAGAAATCTATGGGAATGAAGCAGGTGGACTGAAGCCAACTGCTAAATTTACAACTATGTAACCAAGATGGGGGCAAAGGAGCAGAGCCCATGGCTAACCTGAAATGGAACTTGTGGTAACTCCCGTAAGCTGACATTGTTGAAGGGACAGCAGGGTGTGGTAGATTGTGTTCCAGCCATTAGGGAGATAGTCAGGTGGATATCAAGTCCAGTCAAAGTTAGTGAAGCTCTCAAAAAGGGGAAGAGGGCTAAAAACAACTGTTTTCTAAGTATAGCACATTCTGTAACTTCTTCCTTTTCTTCTAGTCCTTAAAGGAAAGAAGTTAAGCCTACCAATGCCAGTCTAAAGAGATGGACCACACTATAAGGCAGTCAAAGCAAACCATTTCTCCTTGGTGACTTGATGTCAAGTGATTGGTGTGAATTTGAGCAAAGCGCTGGCAGGACTCCCTTATGGATGCAATGGAATAAACCTGGTCCAGCTGCCCAAGTGTGGGGTCTTACAATGGCAAGTGGAAATTAAGGAGCAGCAAGATACCATCTCCGGGGAGAGAAAAGGAGAGGGCCCTGGAACTGACTTGTGAAGCAACCTTGTTTCTTATCTAAATTTTAAAAAAAGAATAAAAAAATCATTATTTGATTAAAAAAAATAATGTTGAAACTGTAAAAAAAAAAAAAAGATACCATCTCCACCAACGACCAATCATTGCTCCTTTTACTACAGTGGGACAAGGCTCATGCCAAGAAATGGGCCAGATCCATTTGCAAAGACCCTCCCTAGTCAGAGTGGAACTGAAGACACCAGAGGTGTGTTGCCACACTGCATCGAAGATGACAGCAATCCAAGTCAGCAGCTCTGCCAAATGCTTAGGCCTCACCTCAGTTCCCAGCCTAGGTGGATACCGTGGCCATCTTAACTGCTGATTCAGATTCTTGTGCCATCATCAGCCCCATCCTCCCCTCCCAGTTTGAGGTGCTAACTAGGTCATTCAACCTCTCAATATTTGTTGTTGGAACAAAATGCTAAGATTATATTCAATGTAATAAAAATTCACACCTTTATTGTCAATTGTTTTTTATTTATACCTACAAAAGAAAACAAGATGGTATCAAAAGGGCAATTTACAAACTAAGAATAGTAGTAACATAGCTCTTAGCATCCTGTGCCTTAACATCACACCTACAATTCAAGTCTCAATGACAGGAATGTGTTCAGAGACCAGCAAAGGCATCACCAGAGCACTGATCCCAAGCAAAAGCCACCAACCTTTCAGATGAGAAGTCTGCACAATGAATTGTTTGGGAGGGGGGGTAGAGAGAATCAGTCCACAGCTTAATACTGAAGCCCTTTCCTTAAGCAAGCTGACCCAGCCCCAGGGGTTTGCCTATGCCTGTTCTGGGAGAACACGAAGGACAGACAAAGGAGGCAGAAGTCATTGAACTAAATAGGAAAACTGCTAGTTTTCTGCTGTACCCAGGCCAAAGAGCTCATGAAATGGGAAATCAGCTGTTAATTCTATCTGGATTATGCTTCTGGTAGACAGGCAAGCAACCTAGTTACTGCTTTATCCCCAAAGGCATTAACAGAAAGGGTGTTTTGAAGAGCTGCAGTAGCACAGGATAGCCTGTGGTATGATGCTTAATAAATACATAAATCTGAATTTGGTTGTAGAAAGAAGTATCTGTAACAGGCTAGTCAGTGTCCATGATTAAACACTTCCTTTTGGCAGGGTGAGACGGACAGACAGGACACACACTTTGGTTTCAAAGCACAGAGCAGGGTTGCCACACATCTGTGCCCCCACTCTCCCTTAGCCTCGCATTCTGTAAGATAGTAAGGAAAACGAAGGATGCCAAGCATTCACATGCGCATAGCCAGCATATGCTGACAACCTACCTGTTATGTCGCACACTGAGCCCTCAAAAGCATCCCTTTTCTCTTCCTGGAGGAGACCTCACAAAGCGGCAAGCACTATGAGGGCAGTCAAGGAATGCAGTGCAACCTCCTCTCTTTAACTGTACTGTGAAAGGCCCACCATTGTGACCTATCATAGGTGTTGGGGCCATCTGTTGTCCTGTCCTGTTAGGGTGACACAAGTCTTTCCATGCACCCGTTGCTCTTGGCAGTTTCAGTAAGACAAACTCACCCACTTGACACTGGAGAGTGAGGTGGACCTGGGCTCTAGTCCTCCAGAGTGCTTCCTAAGCACTACCTACCTGTGAAAAGCAGAGTGCAAAGGGACATGGAGGACGAGTGCCTCCAGCTGCTCCAGTAGGCTGTGGGGACCAGCTCTTCACCAGTCCTGCTCACGAGAGCCCGGCCAAGAGGGCAGAGCAGCCTACGGTCCCTCACTAAAATACTGAGCTTAAGAGGAAGAGCTGCCCATCTGGAGCCCATCATTTCTAACGGTGCTCTCTACCGCACACTCAGATGCTCAGAAGTTTCCACTAAGCACCGATGCTTATGCTCACAATGGCTATCTGGCTAGAAAACCGACTTTCAGATGGTCCCTGGTTATATGGGGAGGAAAAACCAGGCAGACTCTACTCAGATGCCAGTCTACCTAGCAAAAACAATGCCTTGTAGTTTTTTTTTTTTTTTAACTTAAAAGGGTATGCTTGAACTCAGAAATTTAATTTCTAACTCAACACTAACCTGGTTAATATAATGGAGAAAGAGAGGGGCAAAACCAATTGGCAATTTTTAAACTGTCCAACGCACTAATAAGCCACCAGCCAAAATGACTGACAGTCTTAAATTCATCAGGTCTGAGTAATCTAACTTCACTAACTTAACACCATGGACAACACACATGAAGCCCCTCCTGGCTTCTCCCACTAAGGAGAACAGTTTGAAGCACAGATGCCACCATCTTCCTTCTGCTGAATAGTCTCTCCTTCCCTACCCTCCATCCTAACAGTAAACAGGCTCCAACAAAAGCGCCTAACACCTTTAAGATGAAAAATAGCTTAATATCATCAACATGCATTAAATTGGGGGGAAGAAATTAATCTTTTCCAGTCAGTTATATATATATATATTTTTGTCCTTACAAAATCTGTTATTACAGACTGGATCTTTTGGATGGGCAGAAGAAATCTGGCAGTGAATTTTAACTAATCTGCATTAAAAAAAAAGATAAACCACGATGGCTGGGAAAAGAAAAAGTAAAAATGAAAAGGGCCAGAAGGGTAAAAGAATAGCCGGTGTTCCTTTAGATGTAATTAATCTGCACGAGTCACTCTCACCAAGCAGCTTCATTTACGAGAAGGAGGAGGGGGAGGAGGGGGGGGGGAGGGTACTGGTAAGCAGTCTGCCCCATGTAGCCTATCATATTGGTAGCTCCTGGAGGCTGTGCAAACTGCTGTGACATCAGTGGCTGTGGCTGCTGCCCAGATCGGCCTATCCCACTAAACTGCTGGCTAGAGCTCTGGGAGCTCCTCCCGGTTGAGGTGGTGCTGCTAGCCCCATATGTGCCAGCAGCATACTCTTGAGCCGTGTAGCCACTGGTGCCATAAGCAGCCGCCCCATAGGTGCCTTGAGCATAAGTGTATTGGCCTGCTTGTGCCCCGAAGGCAGAATTGGGGCTTCCATAGCCACTGCCATTAGCATAGCTGGCTCTATCGGTTTCACTACGATCCCTGTAGCTTGTAGAATCTCTCCGGCCACCATCCTTGACCCCTCGAAGCCTCCGGTCACACTCATCCTGATACATCAGATTGGGGTTGTTGGCTGAAGAAGTAGTCCGGTACCGAGAGCGACCTCCTGATGGGAAGATAAAGGTGTCTTTAATGCCAGTATGAGATCCAAACAAACTGAACCTAAAGGGGAACAGTAATATTCAACACACCTTCATGGTCAGCAACGCTAGTCTCTAAGTTAATATTTCATTCAACTTGGTGACAAAAAATAATCTTTTCTTTTTTTTTTGTGATGGGATTTCTCAGCATAGCTCTGACTGTTCTGATATTCAGAGATCTATCTGCCTGCCTCCATCTCTGGAGTGCTGGGATTAGATGTGCACTGCCACTACCACCAGGCCTCAAAAACAATCTTATGGCAATCTAATCTAAAGAAGCAATTTAAAGGCATCAAGAAGCAATAACAGCTTAGCTTTATATGTATTCATTAAGAGACAAGGTCTACATATGAAGCTCAAGCTGTTCCTTAAAGATTCACACCTGGCTTTACCTCCAGGTGTCAACATTTACAGGCCGCTTGATGTGGTGGCAAACACTTTTAATATCTGTCTGTATGTGCGCACAAGCCTGCAAATTGACACAGGCAGGTGTATCTCTGTGAGTTCAAGGCCACCCCGGCATACAACGAGTTGTAGGATAGTCAGTGTGGTTGTTACAAAGAAACCCTGTCTAGACTGAAGCCCTCCTGCCCCCCCCACAAAAGAAATTTATAGTAATGTACTAGTTAATTGCTTAATTGCTACTGGGCCTTAGATTCTCACACACCAGGCTACAATATAGTAATAATAACAGCACAATGACAAACTTACTTTCTGACTTACAATGTCACTAAAAGTACTAAGCATTCTGGGTTCCAAGCAAGAGCCTCCAGAGGCATAATTAGTCCTTGGTAGTCCCTGGAAAATTCCAGGACTTACCCTTACCCCCTCCGCCGCCACCACCTCTGTGGTCCACCAGCTGCATCAATTTTGGATTGATGGCCTGATTGGCCTCTTCCAACACTTTGATCAGCTCTCTAGCCTGCTTTAGGTTCCCTGGGGTAAAGAAGGTATAGGCAGTGCCCTTATTGGTGCTCCGGGCCGTGCGGCCGATGCGGTGAACATAGTCCTCGGAGCTGTTTGGATAGTCATAGTTGATCACAAACTTGACATCTTCCACATCTTCCAAGTCATGATGAGTCATTGTGTGGGTTGATGTGGCAGAGAGAGAGAAGATAAAGGACATGCCAAGAGGTGGAAAGCACGAATGCAGATGACAGCAAGAGGAGAAAAGAGGAAGTTAGTAACCACTCTGAGCAGGTACAAAAAAGACTCATCCCAACAGAGTAAAAGAGGATCAGTGACTCTCAGGACACAAACAGGCACTGCAACTCCTTTTGCTATAATCTCACTGGAATCCCATTTAATACCCCAAACTCCTGCCTCTTCTGTGACAGTGTGCTGACAGGAGCTACACTATGACTGACACATCCTAGTGCCACCCCTTTCGAAGCTGGGATGTATTAGAAACCAGTAGCCACCATTAAAGTGCAGGGCCAAATCACTTCTACTCTGTTGGGAGAAGCCTGGCACAGTCTACCAACAACACAATCAACTTACCTTCAGACCAGTCACAGAGCAATATGAAAGGCATTCACCTACTCACTACATTCTCAGACTCAGTTAGGCTTTTTCTTCTCTTGTATTTAAAAAGCAAACCAAAGTCAAAGTACACGCCTATGTTGCGTTGCTTCAACACCCACAGTACCTTTCCCTTTCCTATCACCCTAGAACACATTACACTAAAATTTCACTGTACTACCAAGCCCAGCTTCTCAAGTGAGGTTTTGTTTCCACTCAACTCAAGGTCATTGCAAACTTAGTACTTATGTCAAAGGTCAGATTGTCTATGTGACCTGGAGATTCATTCAATAGTCAAAGAATGTGGGGCAAAGCAGCGAACCTTGAGACGCACATTTGATACTCTGTACATGACAAGGAATTGGGCTGGCTAACCCTAAACTCAAATTATGTAAATGTTAGTGTAATGCTTTCAGCTAAATGTAGTTTTTAACCTACTTAACAAACAAATAACAGAATCCTCATTTTTTGTGGAAAAAATCTGCATTTTACAAAGAATATTCCGAAAATATCCTAGATAAAACACAGATTTCTGTGATATAAATAATTAAAAAACATTCTCTGTTTGTTACCAGACCGATGCACACTCCCTCCTCCTTTGGGAAACCGCTGCAGCCGATCCCGTCTCTTTGTCTTTTATATTTGGCGGCCTCCTTTCGAAAACTCCGCCTTCTGACACGGGACCACTGGAGCGCGGGGAGCATGCATCAAGGGTCCGTGGCAGTGAGGAGTCCCCACACACGCTCGCTCTGTGAACTGGCTTAGATGCTTCTCTGTAGCCCCATTTGGTTGCCAAGCGCCGGAGAACCTGGGTTCAGGTAAAAATTTCAGGTCCTCCAACGCCTCCCCAAGGTAATTGGGGTGATTGTAGAAAAATTAAGAAAAAAGTTATATCCAAAGGGTCAGACTGCATCTATTGCCCAGACTGGATTAATTTCAGGGAATAGGGGAGATGATTAAAAAACAAAAATTCAGCTGGTTAGGGGCATGTGAAGTAGGGGCATTATGTCTGTTTCTTATTACAATAAAGGCTCCTCAGTCTTTACTGACCCCTAAAGTCCTGAATCACACCAGAAAGACGAGAAGGCACTTATCACAGGGGGCAGCTTGAGTCTCCGGCTTGGGTCGTTGATGCCACAAAGAAAAAATATTATAGGGCAAGGATGGAAGCCTGGGGTGGGTTGGGGATAACTCCATAAGCACATCTTCAGAGCCTGGATAATGCCCCTCAGTCACTCCCACTGAGTGACTGGGCAACGGAGCACGCTGAATGCACTGGATGCACAGGAGTGTGCTTTCCAACAGCAAGCACTGGGGCTCCAGATGCTAACAGCTGGGAGTACTTCTGGAGGGGCTCGATTAAGGGTGGACACGGTGCAAGTTCTTCATACTAGAAAGGTGTCCTGTGTGCACACAGCTGACTGAGGCCACCTAAGAGCAAGCACAGAACCTGGTTTTCTCCAGTCCAGGCTGCCCTGAGGGTACTGGTGCACTGCCACAATATTATCTTGCTGTCTTTATAGACGATGCTGTAGCAGGGTAAGAAATGGAAAGTTACATGTTTTGGCCAGTGGCCTAGGAGAAACTGTGGTTTGGGAAGACCTATGCCATGGCCTGAAACTCCAATCACTAACTGGGAGAGCTAAGACTAGCCAGCAGGCTCATCTAGAGTGGCTTCGGGCCAATGTAGATTTGCCTCAGCCATGTACTGAGTGATCTGCAGCTGATATCAAAGCTTCTGCTAAAAAAACAAAACAAAATCAATTCAATACTTTTAGTTCAACAATCTTTAGCTTAAACAAAAAAAGAAAAAAAGAAAAAAAAAGCGAAATAAAAAATATCCCAGTGGAAAGGAACACTGGTTGCCTGAAGGTGACTATCATGAAACTATGGGAGGCAAAGAACTTACCTGAAGGGACCACTTAAGAGACCATCGCTCCACAGAAGTGAAAAAAGGCCTGGTGACTCAGCTGAAAATAGCACCCCTGTCTATGAGGTAGAAGCCTTCACTTTCCAGGATCTTGTAGGACCTTGGTCAGAGTTCTGCCATTGTGGTGGGTTTTCTCCCTCCTTTTGATTTTTACAAGGCAGCAAACAAAGGGGCCCAAAACAAGCATTGATGTTGAGTAACAAGAAACAGACTCAGGCACCTTCCCTCTTCCCTCACTTGAATGAGGGAGGGTGGGATGAAGAGTCTACGTTATTCTAATGGCAGCCAATTGATTTTGTTAAAATATGCACGGGGACATAGAACAAAGATTTTTAATTGTCTAGGCAAGATGCACAAAGAAGCTACCAGCACATAGCAAGCCTGTTTAAAGACCACCATTACTGAAAGCTGTATGCAAATGCTTTCAGGGTTCCGCCTCCTTCCCAACAGGCCCCAGTTCTAATGCAGGGACCCAGACATGACCTCAGAGGAAGAGACAACTTCCCGCCATGGCTGCAGCTCACTACCTCTGGGAGTTAAAGGGATTAAAAAGCTCCATCACTGCTGCATTCAATACATATCTCCATGTTAGATTGCACAGGGAAACATGGTACTTCTCACCTTTCTCAACAGGAAATTCACACATCAATATGGATTTCCTCAATAGAAATAATCCCCATCTCTCTAAAGCAAGATCTTCTTCTGCACAAGTCTCTCAAGTGCTGGCATTTTTAGGCATAAACTACCATGTCCAGCTGTAAGAATCTTTTGTGGAGACAGTCTCACAGTACAGCCCTAGCTGGTCTCCAGCTCACTATGCACACCAGGCTGGCCTCAATCTAAAGAAACCTCCTGCCCGACTCCCAAGTACTGGGATCAAAGGTACACATTACACACCAGCTGGAGTAATCTTATAAATGCTAACATTTTGGTCAGACTTGTTCAGTTCAAAACAATAGGCCAAACCATCACAGGTCATTTTGTATGTATCTTAAGTCATGAGTTGAAATTGCAGAAGGACACCTTCAGATTAAGTTCTTAAACTAATAGCCTAATGATAGATAAGGATAGGGGAAAATTGCCATCATTCGACTGAAGTAACACCAGGCAATGCAGATGTAATAGAATGACATTATAGTACAGAGTAATCAAACCCTTTTTAGTAAATGTTCACAGAGGTGGCCTCTATGTATCTATACTAGATAGACTGGTATAAAGGGGAAAACTTAGTAAGAAACCAGTTTTTGCTAGCTAGGTTCAATTAGGCTCCTTCTATCAAGTCAGAAAAATGAACAAAACCAAAAAGAAAATGATATGTCTCCCCTCCATGTAACTTAATAGTCATGCCTAGGCCTTGCTGCAGACCAAAGCCTGTTTGTTAGGAGCCAGATGAGACTTTGAAAATAAAAGGGGAGGCAGGTGAGATGACCTTAGAAAGTTCAAAATAATAAAACAATTAAAAACCCACAAAGGTTTAAAAAATTGCAGGGAGGGGAATCACACTTATACTCTTTTGACTAAACTCATGTACATACAACTCTAAATTTGACATGACAAAAAAAAACCTGAAAACCAAAAGATACACAAACCACCAACAGAGACACCTATCTATACAAACCTAGCCCTCGGGAGGCTACATCTGTGGCAATGAGGATAGGAGCCTTTCCAGATCGGAACTCTGAAGGAAAAAAAATAAAGGTGCCAAGTTAGGGAACAGAGGCTATAAAGAACATCCGTAAAAAGACATGGACCGAAGAAAAACCATTTTCCCACCCACCCAAGACTCATGGCTTTTAATAATGTTGGTTGGTTCTGTATACTTTTTTTTTTTTTACAGCTCATAAGACACCCATTTTAATTAAGGGGGAAAAAGTATTTTTTAAGTATTTTTAAAAACTGTGTCTGTGCATGTTGAGTGTAGGTGCTCAGAGGCCGGAGGCATTGAATCCCCTTGTAGCTGGAATTACACGTGGTTGTCCTCCAAAGAGCAGTATGTACTCTTAATGATGGGTCATCTTCAGCCCCTTTCATTTGAAAATACTCATTTTTATTTATATAATCATGAACTTTAATCTGGAGATGTACTGAAAATGCCCAGGGTTCAATGAAATAAAATAGAGCCAGGTGAACTTTGATTTACAAATATAATCTAGCATAATACTTTTGCAAACAAAACTGCTTGGCGGAACACAGCCAGGTCATGTATATGACCACTTGTTTTTGTGTAGGAATCACTCAACCCATTATTTGATGAACAAAGCCCCTGATAATCTATTATCTGATTCTTTATAAATAGGGTGTAGGGTGGGCAGTGTTGGCACATGCCTTTAATCCCAGCACTTGGGAGGCAAAGGCTGGCCAATCTCTGTAAATCTGAGGCCAGCCTGGTCTACAAAGCCAAGTGTCAGAATAGGGTCCAAAGCTAGAGAGAAACCCTGCCACAAAAAAAAAAAAAAAAAAAAAAAAAGGGGGGAGGGGGTGATTGAATTGTGCTAGGCACAATAGAGTACATTTTTAATCCCAGCCACACTTAGAAGGCAGGGGCAGGTGGATTTATGTGAGTTCAAGGCCAGCCTGATCTACAGTAAGATCCTATCTCAAAATGCTTAGTCTTATTCTTACCATTAAGTACCCAATCTCTTTCTGGTTGACTCTTGTCTCCATGGATACACATAGCTGGCCAACTATCAGAAGAAAATTATATATTAGAAATCTTTACTTTTGCATTAGTATTAATGTATTAGTACATTATTTTATCAAGTTCTTTAAGCTATATAATGGTTATATATTCATATACACCAGGCTAAAATACCATACATGCATGCTCTAAACCACTGCTACAACCCTTTAATACAGTTCTGTGGTGACCCCTAATCATAAGATTGTTTCATTGCTCCTTCATTAACTGTACTTTTGCTACTGTTATGAGTATCTGATATGCAACCACTGTGAAAGGCTTGTCTGACATTTCTGGTGCCCCCACAACGATCATGCCCTACAGGGGAGAAACACTAACACAAAGCTTCCTATGTGCTGTACTCACCCATCTCTGCGCATCCTTCGAGTGAGGTCATCACAGCGTCTCTTTGTTTCCACAAATATTATAGTCTTATTTTCTTTTTCTGCCATGATTTCCTCCATCAGTTGGATCAATCTGAAAAGACCAAACAATATGGCCTCACAGAGTAAAATTCTTCCTTTACATCAAACACGGACGCTACTAAAGACTGTGGTGGAACGTGCCTACAATCACTTGGGAGGCTGAAGAAGAATGGAGAATTCAAGGGTGAACCCTAGATACACAAGAACCTTCTCTTCCAAAAGAAGACCTCAAAACTAACTTGTTTGTTTTTCAAGGGGTCAGGGTTTCTCTATGTAGTCCTGGCTGTCCTGGAACTCACTCTGTAGATCTGGTTGGCCTCTAACTTGAGAGATCCGCCTGCCTCTGTCTCCTAAACGCTGGGATTAAAGGCGTGTGCCACTACACCCAGCCTGTTGACAAATATTTTAACGAACACCTACATTTATTATTTTTAAGAAACAATAATTCAGGGACTGAAGGGATTAATGTTTTTTGCTGCTCTTACAGAGGGGACTGACACTGGTTCTGGACAACCATCTGTAATCCAGCCCCAGGGGATCCGAATTCTTTTCTTGCCTTTATGAGCATAGTGCATGAACACAAACAAAAACTGTGCTTACAGTATTTTACTAGCATGCATGATGCCCTGGGTTGAATCCCCGCAACACATAAAGTGTGGCGGCATATGCCAGTACATGGGACACTTCAAGCTCCAGGCCTGCCAAGGATATATGAGATCCTGTTTCACATAAATAAAACTGAATTTCAACTAATCCACATTAGATTCAAGAAGATCTGATGTATCTGATTCCTATCTCAAAAATCAGAAATGGAGGCCATGAGAAGTAAATCTTAAACTTGCCTAAAAACTATACAACTGGCATTAAAAAGTCTGTATTCAACCCCAAGGATCCAAGATCACTGCATTTAACTACAATGCTCCAATGAATGACACACAAAGAATGTTTTCAACCAAAACAAAAAACCCTCCGGCCTTTTTAGCTGTGGTGTAGTACAGTTTGTAATTCTGGCATTTTAGAGGCATTAGGTACCTAGTGCAGCCGTCTAAAAAGTAAACCAAATTGCCAGTCATTGGTGGCGCACGACTTTGGTGCGACCACTTGGGAAGCAGAGGCAGGCAGATCTCTGTGAGCCTGATCTACAAAGCTACAGAGAAACCCTGTCTTGAAAAACCATAAATAAACAAGCAACAACAGAAACCAGGATAATGAAGTATTCTTTCATACTTGTGATCCTTTTCACTCTCCATACAGACATCCACAATCTGCAGAATGTTGTGGTTGGCACTCAACTCCAGATTGCCCACGTTGATCTGGGTGTAGTCACGAAGGAAGTCCTCTGCAAGCTGCCTTACTTCCTTTGGCCAGGTTGCACTCCACATCAGTGTCTGCCGGTCAGGCTATCAGGAAATGAAGGTTTTCCTTTAGATTAAGGAACTACACGACAGGCAAAAAGGCACAAATATTAACGAAGTAACAGCTTTACGAACCCTAATTTGGTCAACAATTTTACGGATCTGGGGCTCAAAGCCCATATCAAGCATTCGGTCAGCCTCATCCAACACAAGGTAAGTACATCGGCGAAGGTTTGTCTTTCCCGACTCTAGGAAATCTATTAGGCGCCCAGGAGTGGCTATGCAAATCTCAACACCTGCAAAGAAAAAAAAAAGATCTAGTCCATGAAGAACCCTTTCGTATAAACTATCCAAACCTCAGTGCACAGAAACTAGGGTGCGCCAGCCCTGGTAGCTGCATCCACTGTTACAGCAGTGTTAAACTTACAGTATCCGAAGAACAAGATATATGGTGAACTTCACAAAGAGTAGGTGAAGGATCTCCAGCCTCCAGCTGCTCCCCACAAAGTAGCTAACAGTACTGCATCCCAAGAATTTCTACACCATTGAAAATACTGGTTTTTTTTTTTTTTTTTTTTTTGGTTTTACGAGACAGGGTTTCTCTGTACTGTTTTGCAGGCTGTCTGTCCAGCCAGGCCTCGAACTCACAGAGATCTGCCTGCCTCTGCCTCCCGAGTGCTGGGATTAAAGGCATGCGCCCCCCCGGCTAAAAAAAATACTGAACTTTCTTACAAGAACCTGTTTTGCTCAATTTTATTTATAGAAATTGGCAAAGAATGAAAACACTTTTTTTTTACCTCTCTCCAAATCTCGAATCTGGGGGCCTTTAGGAGCACCTCCATAAATGCATGTACTCTTCAACCTCGAGCACTTTCCGTAGTCATCAGCCACCTGCTGCACCTGCTGAGCAAGTTCTCTAGTGGGCGCCAACACTAAACACTGAAACAGAGGGGTGGGAGGGAGACAAAGTAAATAAACCTGAGACAAGAAACCAGCAACCCTAAGAACCAAAAGATAGTCTAATTTTCCTCTTATTGTCCAATTGAACACATCAAGTTACTTGAGCAGTGGGGCACATTGGCTTATGAGAAACTTACTATTTAGAAACTGAAATGATATCAGTGTTTTTCCCACTTGGCCTAGTCTGATGCATTAAGACTGGGTGACATATAAATGACCCCCCTTAGGTTGATTTATACCTTGCATTATCTGTTACTAAAAAGAGGGTCCAAAGTCACAGAGAAACCCTGCCCCCAAAAGGAGGGTCTTATTATATATTCTCCAGCCTTTAACTACGTAGCTCAAAAAGACCTTGAAGTTCCTTCTGCTTCTCCTGCCTCCACTTAACTAGTACTAGGCTTACTACCACAGCTAGTTTTGTATTACCTACTTTTAACCTTACAAGACGATCAACCAGCTTAAAATATATCCATGTGTCAGGTGGTGGTGGTCTAGCACTCAGGAGGCAAAGGCAGACAGATCTGTTGTCAGACTGAGGCCAGCCTAGTTTACAAAGCAAGTTCAGGGATATCCAGGGCTGTAACAGAGGAGAGAAACACTGCACGCGTGCACGTGTGTGTGTGTGTGTGTGGGGGGGGGGGGGGTAGCCCATGGGAATGACACAGGAGGATTCATGCAACAAAATTATAATTATCAGCAGGGAATACAGATAAAAGTTGAGCTTGGAGGGATGGCTTAGTGGTTAAGAACACTGGCTGTTCTCTCAGAAGACCCTGGGTTCAAGTCCCAGCACTCACAACTGTCTGTGACTCCAGTTCTGGAGGATCCTACACCCTCACTCACAGACATACATGCAGGCAAAACACAATGAACACAAATTAAAAAGACCAGATGGTGGTGGCACATGCCTTTACTGACTTTGAGGATAGTCTGGTCTACAGTGAGTTTCAGGACTGGTTTCAAAGCTACACAGAGAAACACTGTCTTCAACAACCACCCCTCCAAAGGCTAGAGACATGGCTCATGGGTTAAGAAAGAGGCTTGCATCAGAAGGGGACACGGTGGTATGCACCTATAATCCCAGCACAGGAGGGATGATTTCTGAGCCTATTCTACATTTAAAAAAAAAAAAAAAAAAAAAAAGCTTGCTCAAGTTTGAAAACCTTATCCTGAGACCCACATGATGGGAAGACTTGACCCTAACAAGTTGACCTAACTTCCACAGATAAAAGGTAGTGATGTACCCGTTCACTACAAAAAATAACCAAAAATAATAAAAATGAGCAATTTAGTATTGTGTTTGAGGGCTGTGGATATAGCCCAGTGGTTAAATACTGAACTATACCATGCACCAGGCCCTAAATTCAACCCCCAGTACAAAAAACAAACCCTAAAACAAAGGCGCATACTTGAATTGTTGCAAAGACCAGGGAAGCAGAGCGTCTTAGCACATACAAGGGCACTAGCTACCCAGAATCACAAATGCGATAGACAAAGAGTGCCTCAAATTCAGTCATTTCATCTCTGTTTAACTTTGGGTAAGTCATTTAATTCCAAGTAAGACAGGCCAGTACTACTTCTACTGGGGAAAAGGGTTAAGAATTAATTAGGGCAGGGGCTGGAGAGATGATTCAGTGGTTAAGAGCACTGGCCCCATTTCAAGAGGACTTGGGTTCAATTCCTAACAACCACATTGTAGACAACAACTGCCTGTAACTCCATTTCCAGGGGATTAAATGTCCTCTTCTGGCCTCCATGGCACCACACACAGGCAAAACACCCATAAACATTTTTAAAAAAGGAATTAAATTGGGTTTTAGGCACAGTGCCTAAAACAACCATCATTCAATGTAGTTATTCTTAAAGATTACAAATAATAGCACACTTACAATTGGACCATCTCCTCTTTCCAAGTATGGCTGGTGGTTAATATGAACAATTGCAGGCAGCAAATACTGAGGAGGAACAAGAATCAAAAAGTCATAAAACAAAACCATTATCTTAACAGTTCTAATTTAAATGAGTAATTAGCAATGCCCTAATAGAAAGTGAGAAAACCAGAACATATTACCACACTCAAGTACAATATAAACAGCTGAAATTCTGAACATGAAGTATTTTATTTTTTGGTCTTCTTGGTACAGCATCTCACTATGGAGCTCTGGCTACCCTGGAATTTCACTGCATAAACCAAACTGGCTTCCAACTCAGAGGTTCATCTGCCTGCCTCTGCCTCCCTAGCACTGCGATTACAGGTGTGCCCCACCATGCCCGGCTTATGCATAGTATTTTAACCATGAGTCTAAGAACTGAGAAAATGTGAGCTGGGTATGGTGTACGACTTAATCCCAGGGACAGGCAGTTCTCTGGTTGGAGGCCACCATTGGGTACAGATCAAGTTCCACAACAGCAGGGACTACACAGTGAAACTCTATCCGAGTGGGGGGGAGCAGGGTATAAGAAAGACGACAGCTAGGATAACAAAATCAGTTACTACAATGTCAAAGACTTGGTACCTACCGCCAATGTCTTCCCAGAACCAGTCTGTGCAATGCCAACCATATCCCGGCCACTAAGAGCCAAAGGAAACCCCTGGCACTGAATGGGAGTTGGCTCTGTAAAATGCTGATCCATCAGTACATCCATTACATACTCTGAAAGAAAGTAAATGCATTACAACCTTTACTAGTAAACGAAGGACGCACAGGAAATCTTTGGACGTAGCAGTTAAGGCAAGCAGTGGTGGTACATGCCTTTGGTCTTGAAAACCAAAAAAGTGGCAGTTACTTAAGACTGACTTGGATTTTTCAAAAACTTTAAACCCAATCTCTTGCCAGTTCACTACTACCTTTGAGAACTACCACCCTAATTCAGCTAACAGCACAGGCCCATGAGTCACTTACTGTTCCCAAAGTTCATACTATATCCTAGAAGTGATATTCTGTTGCCCTGTAAAACTCTAAGGCAAAAAACATCAGTGCAAGCATTGGCATTAAAAGCAATGCAGAACCCGGGTGGTGGTGGAGCACACCTTAGCCCCAGCATTTGGGAGGCAGAGACAGCTTGTCTCTGTTGAGTTCAAAGCCAGAGAAACCCGTCTCAAAAACCAAACCAAACCAAACCAAAGGCTGAGATGGCTCAGCTGTCAACAGTGCTTACTGTTCTTGCAGATGAGCCAAGTTTGGTTCCCAACACCCATATCAGGCTGACAACTGTCAGTAATTCCAACTTCAGGGGATCTGATGCCCTCTTCTGACTTCCTTGGGAACCTCACCCCACACAAATAAAAACTTTTTTTATTAGTGTTTATTAGTACTAATAATTCTAAATACTGGACCCTCACATGAAATTACTATTCAAAGCTAGGCATCGTCGCACCCACCTTTACTCGAACACTTGGGAGGCAGGGCAAGTGGATTTCTAAGTTTCAGGCCACCCTGATCTACATAGTGAGACTGTCTTGAAAAGTAAATAAAAGCATAAAATTTTGAGCTTTATTACTATGTGTGCCCATGATGTGCCAGAGTGAGTCTGTGGGGCGAGGGGAGCTTGGTGGAGTGGGCTTTCTCCTTTCTTGTTTATATGGGTCCCAAAGTCGGGGCCTTCACTCACCCACCGAGCCATTCTCATTTACCCCACCCCCAACCCAGTCAGTTTCCTGAGACAGGGTTTCTCTGTCTAACTGGGGCTGTACTGGAACTCACTCTGTAGACCAGGCTGGCCTCAAACTCAAGAGATCTGCCTGCCAAATGCTAGAAATAAAGGCGTGAGCAATCACCATCTGGTTACTACTATCCTTCCTTTAGAAAAGGTTTCTATTTGTCTTTTCAACAAAATTCCAAGCCTTTCAAACCCTCTAAGCACCCTACCACTTGATGCAGGATTAAAGAGCACTTACGTGGGAAATTAGCATGATGGAAGGCAAAGACAGGTTTTGGACAAACATCGCCCCCTCTCACTGTGATCTCTTTCTTTCGCCGCAGCTCATCAACCTCATACTATAGGGGAAAAGAGAAAGACAATAAAGCTCCTCTCAATTTAAATTTTATTATCACACAATGATAAACACTAATACTTTTTACAAGAGTTCAAGTTTGTGATGCACATGAGCAAAAAAAGGTTCCATTTTCCACAGAAGAAAAACCTCAAGAGTAATTCCTAGCCAGGATGGGTAGTACTTTGTAATTCCAGTATAGCAGGCAGAAGGATCAGCTCAAGTTCAAAGCTAACCATATCTACAAAAAACAATTGCAGACCAGCCAGGGTTACTTAGTGAAATAGTTTACTACAAACAAACAGCTAACTTCTATCTAAAACTAGGAAGAGAATATGTAGAACTTGGGTCCAAATGTTCTTTCCATCATATAAATTTTTCTGGACCAGCAAAGGTTTTTTTCTGGGTAGAATACACTATCAAGTGGTTAAAATTAAAAGCACACAAACACACAATGTTAATTTATTCTAAAAACTTAATTTTATGCTGGGCTGTGGTGGCCCAAGCCTATGATCTGGCTGGTCTTGAACTCACAGAGCTCCGCCTGCCTCTGCCTCCCAAGTGCTGGGATTAAAGCCGTGCGCCACCACCGCCCAGCCTCAATGGTCTATAGAGTTAAGCTTTACAAGCATGTGGTGCTAGATTTGAGCTCAGTACTGGTAATCATTGAGAACTTGCCTTCTTGGGCAAAGGTCAGGGTTTGACCAAAAAGAGAATATGGAAAACCAGGTAAGCCTGCACATGCCTGTTACCTTGGCATCCATGAGCTGATGTAGCAGGATAGCAAGTTAAAGGCCAGCCTAGATCTATAAGTGAGACCACAAATAGAACAGTTTACACATAGGAATCAAAACAAAACACAAAGGCAAGCCAGCCAGTGGCGCTCTTCTTTAGTCCCAGCACTCAGACACAGGTGATCTGAGTCTGGGGCCAGCCCGGCTGCATAGTAGGCTCCAGGTTGGCCAGGGTTACAAATCAAGACTCTGTCTCAAAAACAAACAAACTAAACTTTAAAATACATTAAAGTGAGCCGAGTGCTGGTGGCAAGCACCTTTCATCCCATGGCTTGGGAGGCAGAGGCAAGAAGATCTCTGAGCTCCTGGTCTACAGAGGGAGTTCCATCCAGAATAAGGACTACACAGAGAACCATGTTTCAAAGCAACAACACAACAAACAAAAAACACAACACCACTGGGCAGTGGTGGCACATGCTTTTAATATCAGAGCCTGGGGGGGGGAAGAGGCAGGAAGATCTTAGTAAGTACAAGTCCAGCCTGGTCTACAAAGTGAGTTCCAGGACAGCCTCTAAAGTCACAGAGAAACCCTGTCTCAAAAAAAAAAAAAAAAAAAAAAAAAAACAGCCGGGCAGTGGTGGGGCACGCTTTTAATCCCAGCACTCGGGAGGCAGAGGAAGGCGGATCTCTGTGAGTTTGAGGCCGGGCTGGACCGAGCCTCCAAAACAATACAGAGAAACCCTGTCCCGCAAAAACAAAAAACAAAACAAAAAAACAAACAAACAAAAAAAACCCCAAAGAACAAAACAAACCACCACATCCAAAAGAGAAAAAACCCACAACATATTAAAAAGATCTGACCTATTATAAAATACACAATACGCTAAGATTAAGCTGTTTTACACACCCCCTACTCACCCCCAACCCCCACTTCTTACCGGAGTCAATCTTGCTACTTCTGGATGCTCCACATAAAAATTCTTCTCAAACTTGGGAAGTTCACTCAAATCCCACTTCTTTTTTCGTAAACGCTCCCCGGGATTACCAAACTTTTTCGGGGGAAGGCCACTACCACCTCTTGCTCCAAACCTAGAGACACCAGAAAATGTTGATTTGTTAGTACCCACATCTCATGTGACTGACAGGAAAGCATGTGAAGTGATGGTTTCTGGAAAGCCCTTTAGAAAGACCATTCATCTTACTATAATCTAAAGGTCCAGCATAGGTTCTGGACCTGACAAGGCTTGCATTTGAAGTCTGAAACTTACTATGTACTCTGGGAGCACACTTCACTTCTCTGCGGGGACAGCACTACCACTGATTTATCCATTTAGCAAAATCATAGACTACCAGCTATGGCATATAGCCAGTGTAGTTTAAGTGGACATGGAGAAAAACATACATACTTCAAACACATCCCTCAAACCTACAACAGCTTCTAGTCAACGTCCCCTTTGCTGTGGCAAGCATTTCTCAATAATCTAGGAACTTTAGTTTATTCAAAAGAGCCAGAACAAAGAGTTGTAATCCCTTCATCTTCATTTCCTATCTACACATTTTACTTGTATCTTCTTTTTCTTCCTCAAGTAGTACTACTCCTGTTTTGAGGCAGAACCTCTTTTACCCTGTATAGCCACATGCCCCAGAAATTCACAGCATTCTTCCTGCCTCAGCCTGCCACATAAACACTGGGATTAAAGATGTAAGCTACCACACCAAGCTCAAATTCTACTACTGGGTTACACAACAAATCATCAACATGTAGGTTAAGGTTTTTCGTTGTAATAAAACTCAAAGTTACATATGGTACTGAACACGTATAATCTTAGCACTTGAAAAGATGGTGTCAAGATCAGAGTTAAGGCCAGTCTGGACTAGGAGACCTTGTATCAAAACAAAAACCCCCTTCAAACATTTAGAATTTTTCTTTTTAAATAGACAGGGTTTCTCTGTGGCTTTGGAGTCTGTCCTGAAACTCATTCTGTAGACTAGGTTGGTCTCAAACTCAGAGATCGGTCTGTCTCTGCCTCCCAAGTGCTGGGATCAAAGGCATGCGCCACCACTGCCTGGCCTTAAGTCTTTTGTTTTTTTTCTTTTATATACCCTTTACAACAAACAGGTAAGCCAAACAAGAATACAGATACAGCCACTTGCCAAACCTAAAATGCATGAAATTAGAAGTTAATTGTTCCTAGAACAGTCCAAATTATCACCCTTATCTGCCTTACTCTAAGTAGTACAGGGCTTTATTTTGATACTCAAATAAGGCATTTAAAAATCTCATTTCCTTATTCCCTGTCAAACACTACAGACTCAGAAGATTCAATAATAGCTACTTTGAAGAATTTCAATTTCAAACCAGCCAGTTTGGGGAGAGGTGGGGGCAAAACCTACAATCTCCAACCCTCTTCTGTCACAGCCTGGTGTGGTGGGTGATCCCAAAACGTGGACACTGAAAAATGGCACTCTCTAGGCCACACGAGGCAGAGTAAGCCACACAGAGATTTATGGCAAGAAATTTTACTGGTTCATTGGATATTTACATTCAGTAGGCAGAACTGAGATAACTTATTCATATCACCACTGAACCAACACAACAGAAAAAAAATATACAGCCAAGCACCCCATCAGCCCCCCTTTAAAAGGGCCCGGGCTTTCAGCTCAATAACTCAGTGAAAAGGGCCTTGAGTTGGCCACTCCACTTGCAAAAATCACTCAGCACAGTTTTCAAACACTCAAATACAGCCAGATTTTTTCAGTCTTGCAAAAATGGCCCAAACCCATTTTTAAGAGATTTTTTTGGCCTAACTCAATTGAGTTTATATGTGACTCCTATGTGTTATTTCCATTGTTCTTACTGTAATCCAGCACTATTTGAATCTTCTAAAATTGAGATCCCTTTACAAATCTTATTCTAACCGAATTTTCTTTCTTTCTACAACCAACCCCACCTAGAACTTTGAAAACCATTCCCTTGCTTTGACACAAAATCTACCGTAGCCCAGGCTGGCCTTGATAACCAAGCTCCTGCCTTCGTCTCTAGTGCTGGGATCACTGACATGTGCCACCTCAAGAGGTTCTCTTGGTTTCAATAGCTTTATTACTTTTAAAGACTTTTTTTTTCTCCCTTTGAGGCATGGTGTCACTATGTAGTTCTGGCTGTCCTGGAACTCACAAGAGCTCTACCCATCTCGACCCGAGTGCTGGCATTAGAGGCGAGCATGACCACAACGGGCCAAGACTTGATTGCACCCAAATACGAAGCACCCAGAGTTTATCTAGATGTAAATTGTTTCTTGTATCTACGAGTCAGGAACAATGTTGGCATAAAGCTTTTTGGTGTATTCATTCCAGGGCACACACCCAAGGATTTTTCTAGCAACACAACACGAAGCTTCCTGAGTTAATTAAAAAAACATATAACAAAAGTTAATTCTGCAGCAGAATTGGATCCTTAAAAGGCAATGAGTAAAAATGTCGCCTGCACTTCTGGCTCTCTCAACTCCAACACTTCCCACTACAACGTGCTTCCAATGAACCGAAACACGACCGAAGAGGAGTAAGGCCTCGTTCAGAGTCGGAAAAGGCTTTTCCGACTCCAGTCCCTCTAAAGGGGATGGCTGGAGACATAACGGAAAGGAAACCATCTCCATCCCGAGGTCGCTGTTCCCAGACTTGAGCATCCGGGTTCTTCCCGGACAGACAGACACTGCGGCGTGCAGGGACCCAATGAGCTGCGAGGCGGGCCAGGCGAGGCGACAGGGCTGGCCGGGCACTTCGGCGCCACGCCGGCAGTCGGCGGAGGGGCCCGCCCGGGCCGCCATTGCAACCCGCCCCCCGCCTGCGCCTCCCCCTTACCCTCCACGGTCTCGGTCCCGATCGCGGTCCCCAAAGCCGCCTCCGCGCATGGTCCCGAACGGGTAGAGATCTGGGAGCGGGGCACGGATGGCCGAGCTGGGGAGAGCCTGCGGCTCCGGTCGAGTGACGACCGATGGTGGCGGCGCCTCCGCTGTTGGGGCGGCGGCAGGCGCGGCGCTCTCTCGCTCCGACGCGCTGTCTCCCGTCGCAGACGCCACCGTCGCCGCCTCTCTCGTCGGAGACGGTAGCAAAACACAGAGAATCGGGGCTGCTAGTACAGCGGGGAGGTTTGGCCACGCTCAAACCGGGCGGTGCCACGGTTTAGGCGTCTCCTTCCCTTCCCAGCGGCTGCACAAAATGGCGGCGGCCGCTGAGACTGCTCCAACTTAACGCTACGCACGGCCGGGACGCTACGTAAACAGCGTCTGGGGGAGCCCGAGGGCTCGGTGCGGTGTTACAGACATTCTAGGAAGCGTTTTACGTCAGTGACGGAGGTGGCTGCGCTTGGCGGCCCACCGAAATAAGGCAGTGTACGTAACGGGCGTACCGTCCCGGCGCCGCCAGCGCTAGAACGTGGGCTGGGGGTGGGGCGAGCCTGCGGCGCGACGTAACATTGTTTGCGTGATTGGCCGGCCCACTGTTAGGAGGATGCGCACTCTTCGTAGCGCATTCGGCTTAGAGAATAGACTTTTCCCAGCATTCCGAGCCCAAACGGCGCCGGAGGCCCGCCTTGTGCAGACACAATAGCTACCCTCCATGTTGCTTTGGTCAGCTTTCGGGGGTCTGTGGGTCTTAGAATCTGGAGGCCCTCATGAATGGCCTGGGCCCTTCGTTCGCCCAGCCGGCAACGCATGCCAGTGCCATTTCCTTCCGTTGCTTTCCGCCGCGCTGGCGCCGCAGCCATGTTGGATGCGTCGCGTCGCTCTCCTTAGGGGGCGGCTGCCCAAGTGGGTTAAAAGACGCCCAGGGTACGTTCCCTCAGTACCGTGTTTTTCCCAGACAGCCTGGTCGCCGTTCCTGCTGGGCTCACACAGGCCACACCTCCCCGGAGCCCTTCCTGAGGTGGGCGCCGCTGGCTCCACTCGGGTCGGCGACTGCGGAAACGGCGGGCTTCCCGTGCGGGGTCCGCAGACCCAGTCCGGGGAAGGCAGGCGGCCTAGGCTGCCGGCGCCTCCCAGCTCCTAGAGTACTTGCTTTTGCTGGTCATCCCTGAGCACTGCCAAGCCACACAAGCTTGGCCGTGTCTGCTTTACAGAACCGTGAATCTGCTGCGTCCTTGATTCCTCCAGTCTTATTTCTACAGATGCGGAGAAGGGAGGCCGTCAGCCTGGAGGCTGTGTTGTCTCCTGGGTGTTGCCCGAACTATTGGAAAACCAGGAAAGCAAAGCAGCACTCGTCACCATAGATTGAGACAGCCGTGGCCAGGCATTGTGCTAGTTGCCTGGACGCTTGGGGGAACCAACACATTCCTTGGCTCAGACTTTGTAGAGAGGGAGTCAGATGATAAATGTTTATGTTAGACAGCTGCTAACTTGGAAAAAGAAAATGGAGGGATGCGGGGATGGAAGCCATAGAAAAGTGGGTAAATGCTTGCTAATCCTAATCGTGACTGAAGCCCTGTATTCAGCACCTAGCATAGCACCCTCAACAAAAAAGACAAGCTGGGTGGTGGTAGCACACGCCTTTAATCCCAGCACTCGGGAGGCAGAGGCAGGTGGATCTCTGTGAGTTCAAGGCCAGCCTGGTCTACAGAGCGAGTTCCAGGACAGCCTCCAAAACAATACAGAGAAACCCTGTCTCGAAAAAACAGAAAAAAAAAAAAAAGAAAAAGTAAACAGCCCACCCTAGAGCAGCCAGTAGGTGTAGGGGGTGATGGTAATTGGACCCCTTTCCCACTTTTCTACATATTCCTGTATTTATTTTTTATCAGCTGTCATGTTTGAGTTTGGCTATAAAAATTAATTTAGCCGGGCGTTAGTGGCTCATGCCTTTAGTCCCAGCACTGGTGAGGCAGAGGCAGGTGGATGTCTGTGAGTTCGAGGCCAGCCAGGTCTACAGAGTGAGTTCCAGGACCGTCTCCAAAGCTACAGTTGGGCTGGTAAGGTGGCTCAGAGGTTAGGAGCACTGACTATGCTTCCAGAGGTTTTTGAGTTCAATTACCAGCAACCACGTGGTGCCTCACAGCCATCTGTAATGAGATCTGGTGCCCTCTTCTGTCGTGTAGGCATACATGCAGACAGGACACTGCATACATAATCTTTTTTAAAAAAATGGCTCAGTAGGCAGGGCAGTGGTGGCGGTGGCGCACGCCTTTAATCCCAGCACTCAGGAGGCTGAGTCAGGCAGATCTCTGAGTTTGAGGCCAGCCTGGTCTACAGAGCAAGTTCCACGACATTCAGGGATACACAGAAAAACCCTGTCTTGGAAAAAAATTTAATTTTTTAAAAGCTGGTTCCTACGGGGGCTGGAGAGATGGCTCAAAAGTTAAGAGCACCGGCTGCTCTTCCAGAGGACCTGAGCAACCACATGGCGGCTCACAGCCATCTATAATGAGATCTGGTGTCCTCTTCCTGCTGTGCAGGCATGCATGCATGCAGAATGCTGTACACATAATAAAAAACTGGTTCAACATATGTATATATGTGTATATGTTTTAATTTTAAAATACACTGTGTGTGAAGCCATGTATGGTGGTACATGCCTTTAGTCCCACCACTCAGGGGCAGAGAAAGGTGGATTTCTGAGTTTGAGGCCAGGTTGGTCTACATAGCTAGTTTCAGGATAGCCAGGGCTACACAGAGAAACTCTGTCTGGAAAAACAAAAAAATAATAAAAAATTTTTAAATTACTGTATGTGTGCATTTGTGCACATGAAAGCAGTGCCTGCAGAGGCCAGAAGCCAGAAGAGGACACCAGATCCCCTGGAACTGGAGTTACAGAGAGTTGTGAGTTGCCTGAGTGGGTGCTGGCACTGAAGTCTGGTCTTCTGGAAGAATGATACCCACTCTAGACCAATGAGACATCTGTCCCGTGCAAAAGTTTATGGTTTGTTTTTGCGGGGGGTTTCGAGACAGGGTTTCTCTGTGACTTTGGAGGCTGTCCTGGAACTCACTCTGTAGACCAGGCTGGCCTCAAACTCATAGAGATCCACCTGCCTCAAGAGTACTGGAATTAAAGGTGTGTACCACCACTGCCTAGCTTGTCTTGCCTTTTTTGTTGAAGATGCTATGCTAGGTATTGAATTCAGGGCTTCAGTCACGATTAGGGATCTCTTTACAGTGATGATGGGAAAAGCCAGTGAATATCATTCAGGGTAGTGTCTCACGTACAATATTCAACAACTGTTAGCTGCTGCCATCTGTCCACTTTAGAGATGAGAAGGCTGAGGTCCAGAGAGTTACATAGCTGGTCTAGAATCACAGTTAGTACATTGAATTGTAAGGTGCTGTCTTAGTTAGAGTTTCTATTGCTACAATGAAACACCATGGCCAAAAAGTCAGTTGGGTAGGGTTTATTCAGCTTATGCTTCAACCTTGTTGTTCATCACCAAAGGAAGTAAGGACAGGAATTCAAACAGGGCAGGAACTTGGAGGCAGGAGCTGATGCAGAGACCTTGGAGGAGTGCTGCTTACCGGATTGCTTAACCTTTCTTACAGAACCCAGGACCACCAACCCAGGGACAGCACCGGCCACAATGAGCTGGGCCCTTCCCATTGATCACTAATTGATGCCTTACAGCTGGATCTCACAGAAGTATTTCCTCAACTGAGGTTCCTTCCTCTCTGATGACTCTAGCTTGTGTCATGTTGACACCAAACCAGCCAGCACAGGTGCTGAGCAGCAGCCCTGGCCTCTGCACCGTAGATGTCTGTGGCTCTCCCAAGTGATGACACTGTCTCTAGACACTGTTCATTGTATCCAAGGGGACGTGCCAATCTAGAAGCAAAGCTCAGAAGCCAGTCCGTCTTGCAGTGGGATTACAGGCTGGTTTCAATCATTTTCCTCTTGTTTGTCTCTACAAACTCTGCTTTTGCTGATATTCATTCTTTTTTGTTTTATTATAACAGCAAAATCCATACTAAGACAAATTTCAACCACTAAGAGACATGTTCTTTTTTGTCAGATCTGAAAGTGATAAGTTTTATTGTTGAGCTATTTTTGCTGTGAGCTGAGGACATTCTGTATGAACATTCTATCTGGTTTCTACAATTCATTGTTAAATTCACCCAAGTGTGAAACACAGTGGTTCTCTTTTCTGTTTTTGAGACTTGTATGGGTTTTCGGGTTCCTTACCTGAAAGGTTGAGAATATGGATCTACTTAAGTTGACAGTGACCTGAAGCAGATGCCATCAAATGGTAGCAAATGAAAGATAAATGAGGAGACAGCTTCTGGGATCTAATCTTTGAGCTTGGGTATGGCTGGGACATTAGTTAACAGTGCACCATCCCATTTCACAATGACAGAACTTTCATTCACTGTGGGCTTTGTCATGGATAGTGTAAGTGACAAATGCAGAGACACACAGAAAAGCAAACAAGCAAAGTAGTTGGTAACATCTTCATGTGAATAAAAATTCCATCAGCACTGGGGAGATTGAAACAGGAAAGTAAAGCACTCCAGACTAGCTCTCTCTCTCTGTGTCTCTCTCTCTCTGTGTCTCTCTCTCTCTGTCTCTGTCTCTCTCTCTTGCTCTCTGTCTCTGTCCTCTCTCCCTCCCTCCCCCCCCTCTCTCTCTCACACACACACACAGAGCTGAGGATGTAGCTCAATGGTAGAGTGCTTACTGAGCATGTGCAAAGCCCTGGCAGAGTACTTGCCTAGAGTGTGCAAAGTCATTGCAGAAGAATTTAAAAAGTGAAATGGGGAAAAAAACCCCAGTTCCATGTTCTCAGCAAAATAGAAGGAAGGCAAGGTTCTAAGTAGTATTGTATGTGTATGGCTTCCTCTGCTCCCCACAATAATTAGCAACCCAGTCCTTGGACTCAGATATACATGAACTTATGCAGTACTCTACTTAGTTTCAGCTGTCACAGACATCTCTGGTCTAAAGATATTAACTGGAAAACTCCAGAGAGAAACCATAAGTTTTACTGGTTTATTTTCATGTTATGTGTCTGAGAGTCCCGCTTGCATGTATGTATATGTGCCACAAGGGTGAAGTATCTGGGAAGGCCAGAAGAGGACGTCAGATCAGCGGTTGTGCCCAGCCATATGGTTGTGAGCAACTCTCCAAGCCAGAAGCTCTGGAAGAGAAATGCTCCATTCCTGCAAAGGCCCCAGCTAATACAAGGAGCTGCACTCCAGGGACTTCAGGCACTCCTGTTGCAGTCACAGCATCTCCTGGGCCACTGGGAGATCAGCAGAGGTTTGCTAAGTGTGTGTCTACTCT